TGCCTTAGGCACTACACTACCAAAGCTCCTTCTGTAACTTAGGTAACGTATTAATTAAAACCCATTGCCCTCGAGTTGATTACAACTTCCAGCGCCCCTAGAGGACAGAGCAGAACTGCCCCATAGGGTTTCTAAGGCTGTAATCTTTACGGAAGCAAACTGCCACATCTTTCTCCTATGGAGGTGCTGATGGGTTCAAACTGCCGACCTCTTAGTTAGTAGCTGAGCATTTAACCACTGCACGGGCTGGGCTCCTTCAATACTTTGTCAGGGGTGGCATACTGGAGTCTAGGGGGAATGGGGATGTGCCTGGAGTCATTTCTTGCTTCGCTGGGGCAACCCCTGGAGCTATTTTTCCCAACACTTCTCAATTCTGTGTCTCCTACTTGCTTCATCCGAATCGTAGCTGTTGGCTTCTTCCTCTTCCTCATCTGGGGGTGGGGGCTGGCGGGCAGGGGCAGCGGCAGGCGGTGGGGAAGCAGCAGCGGCTTGGGAGTAGGGGCCGGGTGGGTGGCTCACTCGGTCTTCTCTGGCTCCAGCTGCCGGGTAGCCCCCAGCTCCCCCTGTTCTCTCCTCCCGAGGTGCGGCAGGGGCTCCTCGATAGCTGGGGTCACTGGGAGCCAGCTCTGCAGGGGCTGTGGAGCGGGGAGGAAGGGCAGGAAAGAGGCAGCTGAACCACATGATAGCAGCAGCAGCTACTGCCCTGGCGTTCCTGGGAGCCAAGAGCACCCACAGCGTGCCAGCTGCCTTGCAGACACGACACCAGGATTCCCCCCCAAACGCATCTGTCCATCACTGGTTCTTGGAATGATGCCCTGGTCAGATCACCCCACTGAGGCTGGGCAGTGGGGCCTTAGAATCTGTGTTTTACAAGTCCCACAAGCTGATTCAGATGTAGGCAAGACAGACCTCACGGAGTGTGGGTTTGCTTCTGGCTGTGTGATCTAGGGCAAATGACTTTATGTCTCTGAACTTCAATTTTCTCATCTGTAAAGTAGGAATAACAATACCTGAAGGTGCACAAATTATTGTAGCTATTATTTTAAAAAATATATATATCTAACATTCTATGTACAGCACTTAGAAAAGTGCCTAGTGTGATACAAAGCATTGATGATGGTGATGATGGTGCACGTATATCACATGTAATAATCACTGTCACTTAGCGTGAACTTAATACAGTTGGGCAAAGTGCTAGAGTTTACTGTGTATTGGTGTGTTTAATCCTCCCAACACCCCTGTGAGGCAGGTCCTAATATTATCCCCATTTACAGATGAGGAAACAAGCTCAGAGAAGTAGTATGACTTGCCTAGGGTCACACAGCTAGAAAATGAAGGTGCTAGGACTAGAACCCAGGCAGTTTGGCTCCAGTGCTCTTAGCCACTATGTGGATGGGTGTTTTCTACTAGATCCCTAGATCATCTGGAGTTTTAGAATTAGAGGGGTCCTTAGAGCTCATGAGGTAGGTATCAGGGTGCAGAGTAGCCTGAAGTCTGGCTGCCCCATTTTCTCAAGAGGAAGTGGGAGGGAAACAATTGCCTGTGTGGCCTTGGGAGGAAGTAAACACTTGCCTGGTCTTTGATCTGGAAAGCGTCCTGCTGGCCCAGGGCCCAGCCTGCTGACTCCTGGGGGTCCTGAGTGGGAAAAGAGGGTTGGAGAAGAGGACGTGACATCAGTGGGTGTTCACCACTCTCTCTCATTTCCTGGGTGTAGGCACAGGCTCAAAGGCAACAGGCAACGTGCAGAGGTAGCCAGGGCTCCAGGAACTGCCTATTTGAGGATTCTGGGGTCCAAAAGATCTAGGTCCAAGCCCCAATGCTGCGGGACCTTCCTGAGCCTCAGCCCTCATCTGTGAAGTGGATAACAACACCAGCTCTCCGTGTTTCTCTGGGAGTTACGAGGTTGATGAACAAGAGGAGTGAGAATGGATCTATCATGAGCTGATGGGCACATTTATTCCTTGGGTTTACCGCTGCTGCAGGGGCATTACTGGTCCAGTTGGATTCTTTATGGCTACCTTTCCCAAAGCACGGGATGTGAGGGAGCCATAGGGATGGGCATGAAATAGCATCAAATACACAGTAAGGAAGTCACTTGGGTTTCCACTGCCTTTCAAAGCTGACTCTTCATGGAGAGTCTCCTTTGGGTGCTACCCTGCCTTTGAGACCTCTCTAACCTTTGCACATTTCCTTTCAAACAAAGAAAGAACAGGTCTCAGGCTTGGGACCTAGAAACCAGCAGGCCAGAATACCTAGCGTTTCATTATAGTGTCTTATTTTCATGACATTTAATTCTATAATCACCCTCTCCTTGTGGTAAGGAATAGCGGCTTCCCTTTTATGTTATTATTATAGGTTTAAGATTTAATGAAATTGTAACTGTAAACTTTGGGCATTGTTTCTACTGTTTTGCACAGTCCATATTTGCTTAGATTTTCCCAATTGCTTTGTTCACCCTTCTTGAATGCCTTATCATCCTTCCAAGAACAGTCACCTTTTTTATTAAAGTCCAATATCCCTAATGTTTCCATGAGAGAGTTCATGATAGCAGCCTCATTCAGTTGCATTTTTTAAAGAGAGTCAATTTGAACAGCTGTGTTAAGGCAAGAGGAGAGTTTGTGCATGTAGCTACTGATTGTGATAGTGGAATGCCAATGTGTAAAGGTAGGAACAGGAGCTCTGGTAGTGTAGGGCCTAAGGCACCTGACTCTAACCAGAAGGCTGGTGGTTCAAACCCACCAGCCACTCCTCGGAAGGAAGGTTGGGCAATCTACTTCTGTAGTGATACTGCCTCGGAAACCCAAAGAGGGGTCGCTATGAGTCTGGTCTGATTTGATGGCAAATAACAACAACAACAACAACAACAAAAGAAGGAACAATGGCTGTCACTTCTTGTGTTTTGTTGGCTAAGATGCATATCCAAACTTCCAAGCACAGACAACTGCTCAACTGGAGGTCTCGTCAGAGCTTAGGGTTTAGTGGTGGCTACAACTTTACAGAAAGGCCCAGTTGGCTCTGAAGACAGGGATGGAGGTACTGAGGTCACAGTTGAGTGATGACTTGGGCGGGCTCAAGCCCACCCAGCATCTCTGGGAGGAAAGAACTGATGATCTGTTCCCGTGAAGATGACAGCCCAGGAAGCCCTAGGGGGCAGCTTTCCCCTGTCCTATGGGTCGCCGTGAGTCAGTCACTTTGACAGCACACCACAGCCTGCCTCATCTGTCAAATGGGATGTTACGGAAGAAGTGCAGCCAGAATGCGCCTTAGAAGGGAGGGGGATGAGATCTTGTCTCATGTACTTTGGACATGTCATCAGGAGGGACCAGTCCCTGGAGAAGAACATTGTGGTAGTTCAAGTTATGTGTCAGCTTGGCTGGGCAGCTGGGTGTAGTTATTCCCCATGGTGAGACTGGTAATTAGCTGCATGGTGGAAGCTACTGGGGCAGCTGAGTAGCTGCTTTAGGGATGTGGGCGTCTTCCAGCATGTAAGAAGCAGCTTTGAGGAAGGTCTTCAGCTTTATGGCCACATGGACCCTGCATGTAGTCACGTCATCATTCAGCAGCCTGCCATGTTTCCTGCCAGTCTTGGGATTCTCTCTGGACTTGAATCAATGGTGTGTGGTTTGTTGTGAATGGGACTGTGGCTATTTACTTGTTGACCTTGACCTTGTCAAGCCTCAGCAGCCAGCAGCTGTCTGAGTGAAGAGAGCCTCCAGCTTCAGCAGGCCGGGAGCAAGAGGCAGAGCTGAAGCTCAAGGCTGAGGGGCTTTCACCCAGCCCCTAAAGCCTG